CGTTCAATGGTTCTGCTCTCGGTGCTATCCTCATTACCTTTGATTTTTCAATGTTGATTTCCATTCCATACTCTCTACCTGTCTCCACTAACTTGTCCATTATGTTCTGTAATTCCTCCTCTTCCTTCGCCAATATTACTAAGTCGTCTGCATACTTTACAGTCGTTATCACTCTTCCTCCAATTTAGAAGTCTCCTGTTCCCTCCAGAGCTTCCTTGGCAAGCCATTCCCCGTACAGGTTAAAAAGAATTGGTGATAAGCAGCATCCCTGTCTTACACTTCTACCTATCTCAACGCTGTTGGTGTCTCCTGAGTCCAGTCTCACTTTGACTTTTTGGTGCATGTACAGGTTTTCGATTAGTCTTCTATCTCTCCAATCAATTCCAATTCTCTGTAGGATCCTCATTAATTTCTTCCATTTTACTCGATCGAAAGCCTTCTTCCAGTCGATGAAGCAGGCACATACTTCTTCCTTGACATCGAGAACTCTCTCTGAAATTATTCTCATAACTCCGATGGCATCTCTGGTTCCTCTTCCTCTCCTGAATCCAAATTGGTCGTCTCCCATCACTTCCTCTATCTTCTTTTCTAGTCTTTTAGTCAGTATTCTCGTCATTATCTTCGCCGCATGTGAGATTAGGCTGATGGTCCTGTAATCGCCGCACTTCTTGGAATTCTTTTTCTTCTGTAATGGAATCATTGTTACTTCCAGAAAGTCCTTGGGCCACTCACCCGAAATTTCATTACAACAAAGGAAATATTACAATTCGAATTTAGCTCATGACATAATTAAAATTAAGCAGTTCATGCTTGTTACAAGTAATTTTATGGTCACTTACACTCTACATTCTCAAGATCAAAGACATTTTCTGATAGACGCAGGTTTCAATTTAATTTTGGCTTAATTGTATTAGGAAGATTTCCAATGGTGGATCATTAATATGCTAAAGTTCTTCAAAACAAAGAACTGAATACCTTCAACACAACTTCATTCAACGAACTAGCAATAAATCCATTTCGAAATCTGACTTCTATTTGTTCGCATGACAAAGATATGACAAATGGGTTTAGACTTATAAAATATCATCTTCAGTGACATTTAACTTATGCACGAATACGCTTACTGTACCACCATATTTGTTATGGGATTTCTACATATACAGTGCATGTATTAAACATCACGGTACAAAATAATTATTTATTTATAAGTAAAAGTTTTCGCTTAGCTTCTCGTAGGAACAATCGGAAGGCTGAGATGGCTGTCTTCCGGGTTGTTGTACCGTGTTGTCTGGTAGAAGTTTACCAAAGTTTCAGAGGTCCTTGCCGCCTCCATCACTCAATGCCCTGAAGATGGAGGCAGCAAGGACCTCTAAAACTCTGGTAAATGTCTACCAGACTTTTTTCCAAACGCGTTCTTCGTAACTCTTCACAACTGGCCCTGATGTTCATTTATTACAGTTACATTATCACAAAGCTCAGAATACTACAGGCAAAGAGTCAATTTTTATCCTTCTATTTAGTTTCGATATTCACGATACTGAAAACCGACTCGAACATCTTAGAACTTGATGATATTTACATAACGTATAACGAACCAATCTTTTATACAACAGGCCACTTTGAGGAAACTGATAACATTCTATTCTATATTATATTAGGTAGATATAAATGAAGATTAAATTTGCGCAGTCCAGTCTCTCATTACCAAATTTAATCATAATCATTATCACCGCTAAAAAAGAGAGAGAGAGAGACCACTGGCAAAAATAAATTCATCACAGTAGGTTGTTTTTAAGGCGTAATTTTCAGATGTTACCGAGAACGCAGCTTGCACCAGGTTCAGGAAGACACGGTTTCCTTTAACCTCATCACGTATGTTACATTCACCTTTCTTTTGCCGATGATATCCACTTTGATGAAGTCCTTGGTGAGGCCTGTATGTTTAGAATCCTTCCTCTTTGGGGTGCTGACTGCGTATCTCTTGGGCGTGCTGTTGGTCATGTCGGCCAGTACACTACGTTCGGGAGACAGCTTCCGCTTGGTGCCCTGCAGCTGATGGGGGCACTTAAAGAAAGCGGTGGGAGGCGTGGTCATTGACTGGTGGAGCGGCAAAGTGATCGGACGGGAACGCCTTTTGTTGCTATAGGATGTCTTCACACACCTTAACAGAAATCATCACACATTTCTCTGTAAAAAAAGTGTTTTTGAAAATACAGAGCAACATATTGTCTAGTCTTTGCACAGGGTTTCACAAGGCGGAACATGTAATTTCTTACCATGAGGAAGAATGCCTAGTAAGAGGAGTCTTGTCACTGGTGAAGGCGCTGGAACAAGTTTGGTACAAATCAAATGCATCACTGCTGTTAGCGGACATGAACGGAGCAATGCCCGACAAATTACTACTATTATCATGCTGAGACACACCTGTAAAAAAAAATTTATATATAGGTTAATAAATTTATTATGTACTAATAATTACTCGGACCCTCACATTAAGGGAAAAACAAACATTGATGGTGTTTCAAAACAGAGTACTGAGGAAAGAGAATACTGACAAAAACTGCATTATGAGGAGCTTTGTAAGTTGTACTTTTCACCAAATACAAGACTAATCAAATAAGTAAAGATGAGATGGTCAGGGAATGTACCATTTTTTTAACAGATGAGAAATGCATGCAAAATGTTGGTCAGGAAACTTGAAGGGACGATACCACTTGGAAGACCGAAGCACAGATGGGAGGATAATATTAAAATGGACCTTAAAGAAACACAGTAGCAGGGTATGAACTGAATTCAATGACTCAGAATAGGGACCAGTGGCGGACTCTTGCGAACACAGCAACCTCAGAATAGGGACCAGTGGCGGACTCTACAAGAAACGTATGCGTTCCATAAAAAGCAGGGAATTATTTTACTAACTGAGTGACAATCAGCTTCTCAAGGTCTCTGTTCAATGTAGTTAATTAGCACAAATGAAGGGGCTGATTCCTAGGCACATTGAAAGACAAGAAAACTGTTTCAAGACCACAGCTCATTTCGAGTGATCTCACTCATCCGGCCATTACAGTATGGCTGACAGTGCTTACAGCGCGCCTTTTAAAATGAGGCTCATAGGATTATTAATGCACTTCAAAATGCAGGGATTATGTAGAATAACATTCAAGAGTATTACATCCGTCAGTTTACACATGGATTATGCCTACATGCATCTTTAAGTGATTTCTGCTTTAGAGAAGAGGCTTCTTTGTTCCTCGTACATATCAATCGTTGTAGCGCCAGCTTGTCCGACAAGAGCTGCCTTCGTGTTCCAAGTAATTCAAGAAGTTTTCAGTGCATTCAAGTGCAAGTGAATGGCCGATGGGGATTTTTCATCTTCAGCGCTTTTCTTTAACTGTCCCCTCATTCTACATCACGTAACCTGGGTCAATACAGTCAACTGCAAACCATTCTAAAATGTTGTCACTGTTAACATTCTTACAGCCTGGCATATACTTCAAAATGGAGGCTAACTTGGCCACTCAAAATTCCTCTTCCCTGTAATAAAAGCAATCCTTTTCCTTGAACTCAGAGCAAATTTTCCTCCAACATTTGTTACGGTGGTTGGATTAATCATATTCAACGCCTCTCAAGCACATGCAATCCACGGATACATCAAATCGTAGTCTTCCGGGTTATTACATCAAGTAATCTTGTGGTAGTATACCATTTTTTTGTTGGAACATGATGCTTCCATTTCTGGGGATGAAGTGAGTAGAGTTAGATGTGGATGGACTATACAGAGGTAAGCAGAGGGTGGAACCAGGGTGCACATGAAGACTGGACAAACACAGCCAAGGGATGGAAAGGGAGATGTGAGACCAGGGCATAATGGCCCAGCCAATGTTATGTTTGGCCAATCTTCCTCTGCCTCTTGGTCCCAACATTTGCCTATCCTGTACAACCCATTAACTTCCTATACCTACTGATTTAAACCCTGAAGATGGAGGTAGCATGTTCCTTCAAACAATATGCCGTGACAATCTCCATTTCTGTTAGACTTGGACACTCAGGAAGAAGGAACAGAAATACCTGGAGAGTTTCGAAATGTGGTGTTGGAGAAGAATAGAGAAGATCAGGTGGACGGATCGAGTGACCAACGAAGAAGTATTGAGGAGAGTCAACGAGCAAAGAATACACGAAGGAAAGCCAACTGGCTGGGACATATTATGAGAAGGAATGGATTAATGAATGATATCACCGAAGGCCAGGTTGAAGGAAAGAGAGGACTAGGAAGAAGATTGATACAGCTAACCGACGACCTTAAACAAGGAAAGAAGATGACGTTCCAGGAATTAAAGCGAGAAGCCGAGAATAGGGACAACTGGAGAGCTCTTTTTGGGCAGAGCAATGGACCTGTTGTAAGACAGAACACTTAATAATAATAATACGTACTTGCATCACTGTGATGTTCCTCCAACAGGGATGTGAGGTTCTGTGTTGGGTCCTCGCAGCTGGATGAAGTGTTGAGGCTTGTCACATCACCTGGGAGCATGCCACTTTGACCCGAGCCCTGTATCACAGAAACAGCTCTTATTCTTACCATCTACTAATTACCCCACGTACGTAATCTGATTCTGAACACGTATGGACTGTTTACATTGGATTACTCTTCTAATGGCCAGGTTTGTGGATGAACAGAAATTGGTAGCTTGTCACTGTGACCTACTCGTTTAACAGCTGACGGAATATTCGGATATTCAATTTCTTTTCTGTCTTTCCCTTTAATTTAATCAATTTGGGTCATACAAAAATAACAGTCAATGACATGATTGGTTGACTCCCGCCACACGACAGGGAAAGCAAATGGCAAGTAAAACTTTATGTTTATTTTTTAACGAACCTCAGAGATACGAAGCACAATTAATGCGGGATATATGACGAGAACACATCTTGTCTTGATCAGTTAATTTGCAGCCAAAATGAAGCTCATACACTTTAATAGAGGCGTTACAGACTCTCCGTGAGATTTAACTGAGTACTCACTGCACACACAACAAAAGCTATCCGGTAAATTAATGCACCGATGTGGCAATTTAAACCACTTTCAACTACAATTGACAACAACTTGAAAAGAGCATTAGCTTACTAAGTAACAATGTTAAATGACACACTTTTAACTCTGGCTGATTGGCCGCGTTTGGCAGGTTTGCTTTATATATCCATTTGACGTGCAGGGGGGGAAGTTGGGGTGGAATAGTCTAGAAACAGCTGATACAAAAACACTGTTGTAAAATGTAGAAAATCCCTGATGCCAGAACTTTACAACAACGCGTGGTTTAATGTATGTGAACACATACAACAAAATCTACATATGTGAAAATTAAAATATGAAGTTTCTTGCAAACTGAGGGAGCTAGAGAAAAACAGGCTACACATTCAAAATCAGCATCAAAAAATACATTACGCCCACAATATCTCGATTGAAGAAATTTTGCGTTATTGCCGAGTGTTCATTTGCTTCTCCCAGTGGTCTCTCTCCACAAGTTCATCCAAACAATTTTCCTCTTTGCATGTTGCATATCATGTCCATCACAAATTCCTTGATTTAAACGCCCCACAATACCAACTGAAAAACATAAATTCTTACTCTTCTAATTTTATTTATATTCCAGCTACTTTAACTCTCTCATATTTTAACAATTCTCAATTAATAAACACCACAGTAATAAAATTGTAAATATTGTAATACATGTTCATGTAGAGTTAAAACTCAAGTAATGCAGACTGAATCATAATTAAATATCGCACATCTTGATAACAGTCTGCAGCACATTACAAAATAAAAGATACAATTCATCTAGAAGTTTCATTCTTCATTATACAAAGACCAAAAATTTCCGTACTTAAAAATCAATGATTTTTGAGAACTGTATACTCACAAAGGAGAGACGTGAGGTCAGAGACAAAAGCTGTCCTGGGGTACGACTGAAGGAGACACCCATCTCTGACTTACTCACCAAGTCTGATATTTCCAAGTCTGCAAACATAAGCAACGAAACTTGTTCAATTTAAAACTTTAACTTCCTGCCTGAACTTTTGAGAAATTCATTGTACAGGTGATATGAATATCAAAATTCCTTCTGCAGTACTTGACAGGTTTCTAACAAACTGACCGCTACTTTTAAACAAACAGAAGGATTTAGTAGCCTTCTATGCCAAACGTCTTTGGACTGAGACAAGGAAGCGTTAGTACAACCACCACCTCTGACAAAATTCAGACCTTGCGAATACGCAGACCGTAAATTTTTTTGGCTGAAGTTTGATGCTCAACTTCGACCTTTGGAATTGAGCAATGTAAAATGTAACAAATTATGCAAAGTTTCCTGCCCCATACTTGGGTTCCAAAATTGTCCAACCACTACACATTCACACTAAATTTTGCAACTGCAATGTTTGCCAAAACAGTGGACAATTCTTAAAATTCAATATAACTCAACCCCAAAAGACAAAGTTGCAAACTTTGTGAATATAACAGCCGAGGTCCCACAGCAGTTCAGACATCACGTTAAAATTCACCTTACGTGTTCTCGCCTTATATCAGATAATATCCATTACCTGTACAGAAAGGCTGAGGTCAGTGAAATCAATAACAATTAAAGGTATTCAATATTCATAACTTTAAGATAAATCCCCCCCATCCCCACCCAGAATCAGCATTTTAATTGTCAACAAATAATTCAAATGATAACTTCCCTACAAAATATTGAGACGTTTAGTGTCCTACCTTTCAACATGATCTCCATGAAAACATTTATGCATGTTCAATAGGAGACTTTGTACTGTCAGGAATGTTCAAAGTATCTACAAAGTGTGGACACCAATGACAATATTAAAAGGGGATTTAGTGTCTTAATTCTGTGACAGAAAGTACTTTGTACACCCTTGAATAGTGCAAACATACTGCCTTTAGAACAAGTAACAACCGTCCTAGTGACTTGCTTGGAAACAGGATGGTTGACGCAAGCTCGTATCCTGTCTGAAATGACATTTACTCACCACGTTAACGACACTGGAGACCCAGTAAACAAGTAAGGAACTTGACATCTGTGCCCAAGGTCTCAGGTTCAAGGTTCGTTGGATCCAGAACATGTATTGTCTCTCTCATATGTGGCAGAGTTCTGATTCAAATTGTACAGGTCCAACCTTTTTAGCCCTAGGAGGAATGCGGAAATTGTGATGTGGATGGAGGTAAGGAGAAGGAACTGTATAATGAATTCTTCTCAGGCTACCAGTCGTGTAACATGGTTTAATAAAGAAAACTCCGATGTTTCAAGGACCATCTTCATACTCACAGTGTCCTGAGGACGATGACAAAGATGGTTCTCGAAACATTTGTTTTCTCTTCATTCTACCACCTTACACTGCTGGTAGCCCGAGAAAAATTCATTATACTTAGTCGCCATCAAAACTTCAGATCAAAGAGAAGGAAATGTATCTATTATTTAGAATAAAAGTATGACCAAGTTCACCTTTGCTCCGTTTGCAAAATTTACATGCTGATTTCCTGTAGTATGTCAGATATTTCAAAACAGAAATCTAATTCACTAAGGGCAGATTCTGCTCATGTCATAGAGCAGACGGTGTTAGTCAGCAGCTACTTACCGCAGAAGCAGCTAGCGTCAAACACTGCCAGGGCATACAATAGTACTCGCTGCTGTGAGAACCTCAAATCCTAAATAATTGCACGCGCCAGATAAGCCACTAACTGACTCTGTCACTTTTCCGCAGGGCTAAAGGGCTCAAACCCTTACTGTAGCCCAGTTCAAGAACAGACACCACTGTTAAGGCACGCAGAGACAAGACAAAGGCAGTGAAAGAGACCATAAATGGAGGCACGTGCGACAACCTATCACTGACTGCTGCTTATAAGATCTTCTGATTTTGTTGCTTGTCTAACATGAGTATAGAATTCCACTTGTGAGCTGGGACAGCTCACAATGTATGATTCAATGTACTTCTTTAAGACAAGGAAGTAGAATGAGTGCCACAAACCAAACAAATGATACCTTTCTTTCGAGCAAACATCTCTTGGTAATATTACTCCACGATATATGCATAAAAGAGGGGAGATACAGTTCACAAGGCAGTTGCCATTCAGCACATCCTATTCAGTATTAAACCTCGACCCGACACAGTAATACTTCTAGATGTCTTCCGCTAGACACGTCATGTCTCTATCAACTCATCACCGACTAATATTGAACATCAGATGAACCACGCCATATAAAAAACAGTACCTTCGTTCTAATATATAAGAGTAATCTGATAAGAACATTTCAATAAACTGCATAACATTGTAAATGATTGTAATTCGAGTTTTAAATTTACCAATCTAATTTATACCTGAGGACGGTTAAATATAACCGAAACATGTCGTAAGAGACGTTCCAATTTGTAAATCGATCATTCGATGCGGAACGTGAAATGATATTTTAAATATTTTATATTTTATTATCTTATTAAAATTGTGATTTGACGGAAAATATTAACCTAATTCACAATATGACGCAAATATACTACCTTAAAATCCATTTGGTCAAACAGAGCACAGAAAGGTAAACAAGAGAGTCTGCTGCCTGGCTTTGTGTGTAATAAATTATCTGTCACAGATAGCGATAATCCTTTCTACTCCCTGCACACTGTCACAATGACAGGTACCCCATTAAACTACTGCTTCTTCTCCTCTCTCGCGTAGGCCTGAGCAGTGACTCACGGTAACGAGTCAGCAGGTGACCCACAGCGCAACACGAACTGTGAGCCACAGAGACAGCCTGGCACTCCTGCGCTGTAAATTTTAATTTGTTTGTCCTTTTGCAAGTTTGTAATATCTGTTGTATCATGCAGTGAATTGCTGTGTGGTGATATAGAACCTCAACCTGAAACGTCATCGGCTGCTACAGCACCAGTGAAGCTGGGTACAGAACTACCTGCTTAGTTGTATTATATGTCATGGTCCCAGTCGTGGCACAAAATCACCAAGTGTATACAACGCACAAACATACACTGTAGTTTCTCATAAATTAAAAGATAAACTTAGATGTCACACAAAAAAACATAAAGTTAGAACCTTTAGCCATATTTCATAGTCAGAATGTAGGCAGCAGGATTTATATCACATAAATTTGTAGCAGTGTATATTTTTACCTGCATAGTGAAGAATTATTTGAAACACAGGGAAAGATTTTTCACTTATTAAAATAACAGAATACTATAGCAAATGCATTATAAATGTATTGTTATATTAACAAAGGAATGAAGAATGTAGTAATTGAAATATCACTGATCCTATTACAAATGAAAATGTTACAGCAGATTAAAGTGAAAATTTCCATTTCAACGTTCAACTTCCCTGACCCCCAGTGCCTGTGTTGCAATGATATATGACTTCGCTGTGACCATGAAGCATGCGATTTGGAGAACAGCTGTTGCAGTGAGTGTACAAACCTCTTTGAAACTCAGATATGCGACTCAGTCCAAAATCAGTCAGTTTGACGTGACCGCGGTCAGTAAGGAGCATGTTGTCAGGCTTCAAGTCACGGTGTATGATCCCGTGCGAATGGAGATATTCCAGTGCCAAGGTTATTTCTGCTGCATAGAAAACAGCCATGTTCTCATCAAAGTAACCATACATACTGAGCAGCGATTTGAGGTCCCCTCCAACCAGATACTCCATCACCTGATAACACACAGCACTCCAGAGTAATCACGCTACAGAGCTAAAAAAACAGCAGTTGCCAACTAGACAGATGATAAAGTGCAATACTTATACAAAAAGCAAAAATAGACACAAATATTTATGACTTCTTATTCAGATCTGAAAGTAAATGCACGCTAATTCATGTTATAATATTCAACGGTACGGAATTTACATTTAGAAGATTTCTGTCTTCTGGGTTGTTGCGCTGTGTAGTCTGGTCGATGTTAACCAACGTTTCAGAGGTCATACTGCCTCCGTCATCAGGGTATGAAGATTTCTGTCTTCTGGGTTGTTGCGATGTGTAGTCTGGTCGATGTTAACTAACGTTTCAGAGGTCATACTGCCTCCGTCATCAGGGCGATTCATCGACCAGACTACACAGCGCAACAACCCAGAAGACAGAAATCTTCATACTCTTCGCCCTGATGACAGAGGCAGTATGACCTCCGAAACGTTGGTAAACAATTTGTGTAAATTTAAATATACTTGAACAACATGTACAGTGCACGTACAAGGACATAATTTTCAGCGCCTCTTGTAAAAAAAATAGTTTAATAATTTCTTCTCAGGCTACCTGCCATGTCAGGTGGTTGAAAGGCAAAAAAAAAAAAAAAACCTTTGCCTTTCAACCACCTGACATGGCTGGTAGCCTGAGAATTTATTGTACTTAGTCACCACGAATGCTCATGAACATACAAAAGATAAGATGTTCTTCTTTTCATGGAGTGATACTTGACACATATGATAAAAATCTTGTAGCGTTTGGCAGTGAGTCATGTAGTTCCTACTGGAGGCCAGGAAGTGACAGTTACATTTACCTCCATCAGCAGATGCACTGTATAATAGGCATTGATTTAATAAGAATTTTTCTTGCATTGTGAACTACTCCATTACAACAAAGTTATATCACAGTTTAATGAAAGTATGACATAATGGACAATTTCCAACATTTGATACATATTAAAACACTTCTCATCACAACAAATTTTATACTCCTATTACAGCATATTTATGCATTGAGAAAACTTTATCTGCACATATGACACAAAATGATAATATGGATTTAAAGACTAAATTTAGATAATTCGACAACACTGTTCTCACTGCAGAGGTTACACAGTATCCATTACTGTAGTAACGTGATCACAAATGGTAAGTTTTAGTTGTACTTAATGTTAACATTTTAAGAGAGATTGTACGAGCCGAGGTAGCTCAGTCAGAACAGAGACTGACTACGGACTGGACAGCCAGAGTTCGATCCCCAACGGAGGCAGGGGACTTTTCTTCTAGCCTCTGCGTCCAGACCGACTCTGGGGCCCACCCAGCCACCTATTTAATGGGTACCGGGGTCCTTTTCCTGGGGGTAAAGCATGACTGGGGCATGACGATTACCACTCACCCCATCTAGTGCCTAGGTTGAGAATGAGTAGGAGCTATACCCCTCTCCCTTCAAGCACCAACAAGGTGTATACTGGTACAGCTTTCCTTTATTTTTAAATTGTGACTCACCAGGTAAACGCTGTGGATTGTCTGCAGGGAGTAAAATAGTTGAACGCAGAACGGGCTGTTCGACAGCGCAAGGGCATTTCTTTCTGTTACCACTGCAACACATTACATTATTTGTTAGAGAAATGACAATGCATTAAGTGGCAATGCTTAACTCTTATTGTACAGAAAAAGGAGATTCAAATTCCTGTATTGAGGCTGCTGGCTGGGCTTTAGTTCAGGGGTGAACAATACGGCAGTATGCTACTATGACACGTTATACTACGCATAAAATGTATGTAAGATTGAATTATACACAAAACTATTAAATATACAAATAATGGTCACTCAACATTGCATCTGCATCAATACAAGAATACATGCTCAACACTGATTCAGTCGTACAACTAAAGGATGGCCCAAAATGTATTACCACGTTTAAACTCAATTTTCTCCGTAAGTGATTATAATTTGGAGAAACTTTGCTGACACACTGTACTGCTCAAGTCATTCGTGTATCATTTGTTTTTACTTGATTTTGAACGGTACTGAGCGTTGAATACTCATGATCAAAGTGCACATTTAATAATCTGAAAGCGAAGAAAAGTTCAAAAGAGTGTCCCATGTAAAATCTGGCAGTGTTAAAGGTGGACCGGACAGGCATGAGATTTCAAACCTCATCAAAAGATTTTACAAGACAGGAACAGTTCTAGTCTATTACTATCAATGGTGAAGGCCTTCAACAGCAACGACTGAAAATCTTTTAGTGCAAACACATAAAAAATATCATAATATAAATGGTTTGAGATTCTGATCTGCGTGGTATTTGAACAAGATTTTTATACACCGTCATTTAAGCAAAACAAAGCATTAAACTTGGTAGGTACATTTTGGACAACTCTGTACAGTCGTGTGTCAGAGAAAAGTAACTACAGAAATTCAAGAGTCACAAACAAGTTCTGTTCTAACAGTTAGCTTCTGAGTCTTTTGTTTAGAAATCAGTGTCTCATAAATGCATTAAATGTCGGAAAACTTCCAAAGACAATTCATAATAGCCTATTTAACCCACAATTAAGCTGAACTACAGAACACAGAACGCATAAAAACAAACTAAGTGACAAGTGCCTATTCATTACTCATTTGAATGCTCATAAAAACTGAATACTATGTAAATAAAAAAAAGGTAAATATTTATTCAAGTCTCATCTCCAGAAGGCAAAACAAAATAAAAAACATTCTTCAAAAATGTAGCAAATTTTAAATACCTGCATAAAAAATGTATTCATAACAAATTAAGAGTGGATTAAATTCAAGAAAATGCTTGTTACCAGCTTTGAAATGTTCATCTTCCCATCTGTCTATAAGACATAAAGATTAAAAATACACAAACTTTTATATATGTATATGATACAATCAAATCTTTATGATACGTTGTACTATTGAATTATTATACTGAAGGAACTGCTATAAATCCCTAAATAAAAGATGAACAGTCCACACCTGAACAGCAATCTTATTCTATTAATATAATCACCTTGGCTGGCCATATTTTTGTTCACCAACTCCGACTTCTTCATCACCTTGATGGCGTATATCTGATCTGGGTTGCTCTTCTTACAGCCTAGGAAAACCTTGCTGTAACACACCACCAGTTGTCATAAGCTGACACACTTCAAAATGGCAACACTGGAAATGATGCATTAACTCATATTTCTAGATCAATGCAATTCACACCCACTGGTCATTTGCACAAATAAAGCAATAATAATGATGAAATTATGGTATTATATTTTATGTAACAACTCGAGGAAACTACATAGTGATGAGTCTCATAATCTGTCGAACAAATTACACAGGTTATACGTCAACACACTTCTTTATTTTGCACATGGGCTACAATAAAACAAACAACGCAATTCAAGCTTTGGAAGGTAATGGTGGTTTTAGAAAAAAATTGTAGTATTATGCCACATTATGTTAAGTTTATTTACATAACAATCTGCTAAGGTAATAAAACACAATACCTGTGGCCAAATAAATCGCAGTGGTCGTACAGACAAACTACATTATGCTAGAAAATAAAACCCACATCAAATGTGCCTGACATAACCAATTTCTCCCACGTAAAACAACAGAGATAATTACCCAAACGATCCTCTGCTTATTGGCTTCACAATATTGAAATCTTGTACATCTGGTACCTGAAACATACAACATACGTTTTGTAATTGTTATACGAGATCAATTCATATTTCAATTTGTACAGGTTAGTGCTAACCAACTTATTTATTTTAAACTAGAACGATTAAACAAGGTTTCTATTATTCAGAAATTCAACCCACAAAAACACCACTTCCGAGGAAAACAAACTCACTTTTGCATTTGTCTCTGTTTGCGTTAAGATTGTTTGCAGTATTGAACTTTCCGTCTCCGACTTCCTTGTATCTGGTTGTCCAGTATCCATTTTCTTTGAATTATGCAACTGAACGTCTTATGTATAAAACGAACTTCGTATGAAACATGTCACAAAACACTTTGGAATTACATGTGTCGATATGAAAACCTGATTGCCGAAGTCCAACTGCTAACTATTCAAAATATGAACACCTGCGTCTTGTGAGCAGAGATTACAGAACCAATCAAGGAGTATAAATGTACAATCGCATTTTTATCATTAAAAATGGTTCAGGCAATAGATTTAGCGAAGCATAGATAATTACGAAGAATCTCTGGCATACTTCATTCAAAAGTAAGTGCGCACAAGTGTGCATAATTTAGATGAATTCGCTATGATTTTTAGGCGGATTTGACCTTAGGTCTTCACGAGCGTCATTCTTCTCCTTCTTTTGGATTCAATTTTTCTTGTTAAATTTTGTAAACGAGCAGGCTAGTTTCTTACATATATAGAATATTGCAAGAAGATATACGCACTCGTTCATTGAATGAAACAAATATTTTAATAAACTAGATAATTCTATATGTCAATATTTGCACTCAGTGATTTAGTGAGTGTAGTGTAGGTGTTAAAATATGACCACCGTTAGTTCCATTGCACAGTTTATAGATGTGAGCAACTGACTGAAAAGCGTCACTGTATTATAATGTCTATTCATTTCTTTGGGACAGTTTTGCAGAATTGTGTTATCTCTCGCATGCTTGTAAAAACTATGCAGGCACTGAGTGCAGGGTCAGTCACAATGATTTCGGCCTATTACTGATTGTGCTTCCATCTATCAGTGGATACAAATTGCCAGTGCTGCCATCTATCATATCATACAAAAACGTTTCAGATCATCGCCCTGTTTTTAGGTGCGATTCATTTCTTCGAAATGTCAGAACCATTAACAAGGAAATATGGTGTTACAATTCAAAAGGCAACTTTTTACATATTAACTACTGCAAGTTCCTAACATTTTAGTAGTTAGGTAGATGAAGGTAACCAAAGAACCCTGGCAGCACATTCCCACACACTGATTAAATTAAACGTTTTGAAAGGATAGTAACTGAGCTAACTGACAGATTTGCCATCTGATGGTTGTGGCTTGCAGGCAACTATCCCTTTGTGTTGACAATTTTGCTGTAGAAAATGTAGTAAATAATGTTAACTGCCATGTTTTGATCTTCAGGCAGCAGTTTGTAGTAAAATCAAGCATCATGTCAAAGTGATGAAGCCCTTCCCTCATGCTCCTATTAAATATTCATACTAACTGCTCAACAGCTGCATCTGGGTAGCAGACATACTGAGTTTCCTAATTCCATGGATAAGAGTACTTGAGAAGCCTGTAGTCACTCAAGTTTAACAAAAACTTTCCCTGCTTTTATGAAATATTTATAGAACCTTCAGGATCACTAAATTCTTAGAGTATATCCATAATCTATGTTTTTAAAAAAGAATACTATGTTTTAGAAGCTGCATCTGCTTCCATCCTCAGGTTAAAAAAGGAAGAGGGGCATCTAATTTATTGAGTATGATAGAAAGAGCTAACTTCAAATCACTGAGACCTCCCCCTCACTTTTTTAAAACATGAAATCTCAACTAAACTAAGCTTGGACACTTGCAACTCTTCATGTCCCCCCCCCCCCTTTATGGTCACAGATCAGACAGTAATAATAATTTCGAGCTGTAGATATTTATCTTGTTCAGGTATAATTATTTGTGAAACAAAAGTCTTCTTCCTAACTGCTATCCACAAGTTAAAAAGATCGATCTTCGGTTGCATAAAGACAGTGCTGTAAAGTGGAGCTCTGATGTTACATGTGACAAGGTTATGGAGTTATCAAATTGATAAGCCTTGAAAATATATTATTTTGTTTTGTATCACATAGCATTGTTTTAAGATACAATACTAAACTGCACTGATCTGATAAGATTTCTGGTTCTCAGAGAGATGAGTCTAATAATGTGTCTTCTGTGATATTGTGCCATGCAGTTGGTAGAGAGTGACGATCAGGCTCTGATGATGGAGGCAATAGCATCTCTGAAATATCAGTCAATCTCTTCCAGACTACATGGTACATATTCTGTTGAACGGGACTTCACTTTTCGTATTAATTTCATAAACTGTGGGTGTATCTCACTAGTGAGCTACCTCAGAAAAAATAAAACAAAATTCTGCTGTTATCTTGTGTATTCTACTGTGGACACACACTGCACAAACAATCACACACATTGTTAACTGTCAAACACAAAACCCTCTGGTGTAACAAAACATTTCTCTCCGACCAGCGGAGGTACTCGTATGTAAAAAAATTTAAGTAAACACAAAATTTATTATGTAATAAATGTATTATAAGCCTATCATGTATTTCAAATAATAAAATTATTGCTACAGTCATTCATGTTGGCTGCACTGCACACGTACTAACTCCACTACTCCATGTTACACATTATTGCTCAGAAGTTCACAGACTGTCCACAGAATGTCATTATGTTTTTTACCCACTGAGATGACGGCAGAGAGTCTCTTGTTGGTAGACAAGATGTTAGTCAATCCTGTTACAATGTCTTAGAATGTCACAGCTTTCTTACACTTTTTCTATTATGTAATGAAAGTTTGAATGTTTTTTCAAGAAAATGGATTCTGAGCAATGAAAATATCATGGTACCAGGCTGAAATCTCCACTGGATGTATAATTCCAAACTTATTTGCAGGCTGTGAACTCTTTCTATGCTGAGGTCTTCACACATTAATATACTGAGAAAAAGAGAACTGAATGTAATATAACATACCATATTTAACACGATATACATTGTTTGTAGCGTGGAAAGCATTAAACTGCCACATCAAGACCGCTGACATTAGAATGTTTAAAGAAAGTAAACATTAAACAGGCCTGAAACTTATTTTACCCCATAATCTTTCCACAGCATTTCATAAACTATGAAGCACACCTCATTGGTGTGGCACGTAAAGCATTAGAAAAACAGGTAGTCAGAACATAATTATGCTTGTAATTAAATTGTCATTTCATGTGATTCAACTTGTCAAAGAACGTTATCTGTACTTATTAATCTGCCAATTAGGTATCGAGTTCCTCTTCAATTTTATTTTCATTTATTATCAAAGTACAAATTAATTCAGTCATCTCTGAGCTTTAAATTACAAATAGCAACTGAACGTGAGGCAGCGTCGTAAGTCAGGTGTTTGGATGCCAATATTTAACTGCAGAGGCCTGGGTTAAAACTCAGAGTAGTGCATGTAGGATTCAAGGGAGGCAGACAGACCGGCACTGAATACATTATATTTCACATTTCAGTAATCATTCCACTAATAATCCATAGTCATTTATCACCGCTCTTGAGGTGTGCAGTTAACGTCACTGCCCAGCAAATATCACAACCACGGCCTTTAGCTGGGACTTTACTTCTGTCTTGGCACTTTTCTGGCAACAAACTGCTACTGCTCACAAATGCATAGTTTTGTATTAATAGAGGTACACTGTAAAGCCTCTTAAGTGGTATCTTCAAAACATATTTCGAGATGCGAGAAACATTTTCTTTTGTAATTTAAATGACGTTCTAGAATGATACGCTTGATAAAAAATGCTTGTACATAAGGTGTCCTTTAAACACTCAATAATTGATGATTTGTTATTATTTAATGATGATGTATCAACTGAACATTGTATACTTTTGAATAAGATGTAAGGAGTGTTACATATGGTAGGTTTTTAAAGGGTGAAGGACAAAACAGCTGTATACCATTTCAAGGTCAATCCAACCATTTCCTGGAGGGACTCAAGAAATGTATGAAATGTCTCATTAGGGTAACTTACAGATTGGCCAAGATTTAAATCATATACATCCAAAAATTCACATCACTACTGAGCCGAATCTGTTCAGTGAATGAATGAAAAGTGAAAGAAATGCTATGGCATTCTAGACAAACTTGGTTAATTAATTGCACATACTTGTCGACATTTCAGTTGTACAATTTTAAAGACAAAACAGAGCATATGACATACACAAATAGAATCAGATGGCTTGAAGTTGTGTAACAGCATACGTGTTCACAACTGTCTTTCTCGACAGTCTCTTGCGGCCATGTTTTCTGACTATTCTAAATGTTCTCACTGGAAGAATCACACATATGTTTTCATATTTTTCATGAAAGATGACAGAACATGTATAATCTGCCACTGGTCACACAGATGTCATCAGAAAATTAAACATGATTTGCCACAGTTGTGGAAATATGCTAGTTTATGACAGACCAGAATTTACAGAATACGGTATTCAAATTGCTAAAGGTGAAAGACAAATTATTAAAATTTTAGATTAGAAATTTTCCCTTGCAACAAATCTTCTGTCCTCCATAGAGTCATTCATTCTCTAGGCCCTTCATAATACATGACTAATGCTACAATTTATAACAATTACTTGCGTGTGTGCACATTTTCATATAAATTAGGTGTTTCATGTGAACTGAGCTACAATTAAACGTCGAAAAACATAATTTTTAGTAAAACATGGCAATTCAGATACTCAGCCTTTATCATACAAGAAAAGGGGAGTTGAACGCTTGTATTACAGGGCTACCAGCTGGACTTAATTCTGTGATTCACAATTCACACAGCCAATAAGGGTACACATGACTTTAGGCCGAGCGAAGGTTCAAATCTTACATAAGGCATGAACGTCTGTGTACACTTCTCATCACCACCACTCACGGCCATTACCTCTCTGAAGTGGGTGGTATGCCATAAGCTAGCATCCTCTGCGGATTATTTAGTCACGTTAAGGTATTCCCAGGTTTGAGAAAATTCAAGTAAAAATGTTGTGAGAGAGAAAAATATACTTAAATTTTTCTTATAAGCACTAAATGTAATAGTTATCAGTATTCACTGCTTTATGCTCTGTTATGTCCTGGAATGTGAAGGATGATGTATCAAGCATTACCAGAAGGGTTGCTTGTTACACTGCATAAGAAGATGCTTCATTGGTGAAGACCAGAAAATGCCCTCTGACCAAAACTGGATACAGTATAAGGTAACCTTACTCTACATTACAAACTACCCTTGCATCCAAGGTTCTGCATACATTTTTTCTAGATACTTTCAAAGTCTTTTCAAAGATGATATATCTTTCTCTCTATTAAATAATTGTACATATATACAAGGTTATGGGAAGCAGTATAGCCATACAGTTTGAAAATATTTCTGCAGATTAATTCATCCATCTAACCTCAAAGAGGATTACAAGTTTCTGTGTGGCAGTTAAAATAAACAGCTGGAATTTGAACACAAATGAGACATTTCTTATAATTCAATTCTAAACTCTGCAGTACTATCACAACATTATTCACATGAACAAACTATCCAAAACTGTGATCACACATCCAGTGCTTAAGCCTGACCAAATGCTTCACTTTCAGCACAATATCAAGTGTAAGTTAATGTGAAATTACAACTTTTTTTCACACTTGTAACATTTTGGTCCTGAGATTTTAAGAGAAATACGAGGCGCGTCCCAAAAGTAAGTTTCCCACTCGTCCCACAGCTAGCAAACCTTATATTGAGCGAAGCGACTGTGCGTACGTGATAGAGCAATGACGTAGCATGGCGCATGCACTAACGGCACTTCCCGCGTTCTCACAGTAGCATCGTTGCAGCTGTTGAAGATGGAGGTTCTTATTCCAGCTCCCGCCGACTGTGAAGTGCGGTCAGTGATAACGCTAGGCCGCACACGGCTCGACGGACAGCAAGTCTCCTGCAGGAGTTCAGCTGGGAGGTGTTTAATCATTCACCCTACAGCCCGGACCTCGCTCCCAGTGATTTCCATCTTTTCCTACACCTCAAGAAATTCCTGTCCGGTCAGCGTCAGCGTTTTGAGAATGACAGAGAGGCGGAGATGGTTGTCACACAGTGGTTCCAATCCCAGGCGGCAGACTTCTACGACACAGGTATTCAAAAGTTGGTCCCACGGTATGACAAATGTCTCAATTCCGGTGGCGAATATGTTGAAAAATAGCTGGACACTTGCTGTATCTGTTGCAATAAATATTTCCATGAAATTGTGTTTTGTTTCTGTAAACGGCCCCAGGGAAACTTACTTTGTGAACGAGCCTCGTATATAAGTATGTTTAGAGCTTGGCTCAATGGATGCACAGTGTAGGAAGGTCGTAGACTCAGTAAACACTGCAACTATGAGTTCAAATCTCATGCTGCAGGTATTACTCAAAAAGTTAGTATTATTCACTTTGTTAAGAAATTTCCTTTCTATGGCAGCATAGGGTCACCATCATGTTAAAAAATGTCTGCTATTGGACTCCATACTGATTTATTTCGATCCAGTTCAAATATTCTAACTCAATTTCTACAAGATCCACTTCATTGCAATTGAACAAAAGAACTAGAAAGCACTCTCCATTGACATAAAACGTGATGTCATGAAGTAAGTCTGATACGGATAAATATGCCTAACAATATGCTTAGAGTAAAAAGTTTAAAACATTTTCCATAGCACTAATTATGACTAGTGTTTTTCATATACCATGCTCAACATGGGATGGAATGCTACCAGCCTCCATTATTCAGCAAGTCTGAAACCTAACCACACTTTTACTTTCTATTTTATGAATACCCATGAGGTAAATTTTAAGATTCATTTAGATATTTACGTGAAGTGTTTATTTAAATGTGTTTTTACATACAGTGTGTAACCATATGGCTATCTTTGACATACACATGTATACAAGAGGTTAATTAAAACTCATAGTTGTTCTTTACCAGGAAAGATTTATAACATTTGGAAATAATTCAAATATTAATTTAACCTCGTGTGTCATGATCTAAGCCATATAAACCTCGTAACCATGTGGCTACAGGGGCATAGCTCCCTGGCACAGCTCTTTAGGTCATTTTTAGGACATGGGGTTATAAAAATGCAAGTTCTGACAAACTTACTAGTCTGTCTCCATGGTGATGAATGTAATAAAAATGCAAGTTCTGACAAACTTACGAGTCTGTCTTCATGGTTTGCTGGATGAATGTCCAAGGCATGCACATAAGACAAAAACCCTAGAATAACTCTTAATGGTCAACAGAAGGTACAAAGCTTCAAAAATAAAATCTATCAACAAAATTAGTTCCACATACCTTATTTTGGCAGGATGCTTTTCCTTTCTCATCTTATAAACTAAACAGTAAGAAGCTTGACTTGTATATGGAACAAATACAAACCTGGTTACCCCGACTGAAGTTGTGTGTGGTTTTCCAATAACATAATCAAATAGGCCTCAATAACTTCTTCTCCCATTCTTTCAATATACACAGTAACCCATTTATATATCTTAACCTCTGTAGCAGACATATTCACTAACCTTTCAAATCCCAGTGGTAACCATATGTCCCACCTGCTTTAATAATAAATAAATGTACATTTTTTATTGGTTTATTATGATTCTCACTGTAAACAGTGATTAGTACCTCAAACAGCATTAACTGATTGATCTTTGTAATAGTGAAGTGTTGTGTTTTCTTTGTGGTATAGATTGAATTATTAAATATTGTTTTGATGAGCTTCACATTTAAAAGATCAGATATTCCAACCATAAATATGTAAATACCAAATAGTATTAAAAATATATTAAAATTGGCCGTCAATCACAATATAAGATAATTAAAAGATTAAAATATCATTTTACGTTCCGTATCGAGTACTCGATTTACATGTGGAACATTTACGACATGTTTCGGCTATATATAGCCATCATCAGGTGTTATGTTATAAACTTTTTAACTGAATTACTGATTTTTAATGATTTTTTTTTTTTTAAAATGTAACAATTTTATGTGAAATTTTATATGATTTTTAACAATAAGCTTGTGTAACGACGGAAATAAAAGTATTGTATTGAGGAACACAAGCATGATGCAATTAAGATATAAACTCATTAAATTATGTTATATCCTTCTTGATGGTCCATTAACTTAAATAACTGTCGACCCCTGTGACAGGACTCTATAAAATCATGGAAATGTTCTAGTATCTCCATGGTTGGATGAGATTTCAGGTTCTCATAGTGGCAAATATGATGATGACTGTCTTGTGGGGTTTTGCACCATGTAATTTGATGGAAGTTTACTGATGGTTCAGAGGTACTTTCTGTCCCCATCAATAGGACATGTACGCTGTTAACAAGGAACTGCTTGCACAAAGCTTATTCATTGTCCTTACGATGAAAGCAGCAAGAGCCTCTGAAACATCAGTAAACTTCTATCAAATTAAAATATATAATAAAATTCAGGTCAATACACAAAACTATATTTAGATGTTAAAATTTAAAATTTTAAATTTGCGCCATTCATCACTATAAGGATGTTACAATAAAGCGCTTTTATTCATTTCACAACATGTTTCGATGTAATACATCATCTTCAGGTGTTGTCTTTAAAACTATTTTATATTTTAATGCATGTCTTTCAGTATATTCATTATTGTAGCATGTGTTCCGCTGATCCTCCCATTTTACGCATTTTATTTTGATTATTCTGTAAATAAATGTAATAATATGTGGGAGTTATTTATTTTTTATTTTTTTATTTTATATGCAAATAAGTTTTGGAATATGAACTATATTGTAACATTAAGAAACTCAATAACATACCATAAGTCGTGTTGTGTGGTGTATCACGTCTGCTCGGGTTGACTGTCTGTTCGTGTATAGCAGCGGGTGGTATATATAGGTAGAGGGTGTCAGGTGCTTGAGTCAATGACTTGGATTGTGTTAAAATTTTAAATTTTAACATTTAAATTTTAACATCTAAATATAGTTTTGTGTATTGACCTGAATTTTATTATATATTTTAATCAAAAAACACAAACATGACGCATGAAAACCTTAAATTCTATCAAATTACATGGTGGATAAACTGACAAGACAGTCATTTTCATGGTTAGAAGATTTTTTTACCTGGCCTACTAAAATGACACAAAATTTCTTCCACTGCTTAAATTAATCCATAACATTAGTTTTATATTAGAAACACTGTGGGTGAACTTGTCAGTATATGAACCATGTTTGGAACTCAAACAATTTTTGGGGTCAGAGCAGACTATCTTGTGAGTAGTTGTCAAGGCAGGCTATCGTAACTACAGACACTTTGATATTTCAAGTAGTCCATTTTAGGTCCATATAATTAGGCCATCACCTCTTCTTGTCTTATAGTTCGGCAGTCACAAGCATTCAGATGTGATCTCAGGTTACATCAACAGTTTCTAAAATGTCATCATCTAAGAAACAGTTGCGGAATATTTTATAGCTCATACAAAACTGGTATATGTCAAGTCTCGCTTTGGTTTCGATAAGAAAGCCTGCCAACTTCACTCTGGGGTTTGAAATTTTTTTTTAAAAGACCAGTGGTCCATTTATTTTAGAAAAAAATTGGTCAGTCTTATAATTACGGAGGAAAACAATACTTAATAAGTTATTTGCCAAAAGCACAATAATATGTACTTATTCAACCTTCTGTTATTCCTTCAAATTTAGTAACAGATTTAATTACTTTTTTCTTGTTTTCGACACCACAGAAAAGAGAAAATGAATGATTAGTCTGAAATATTGAGACTCAAACTGCTAGATCCTGAAAAATATAAATTTCCCCATTCAGCTGCTCTCAGTTACAACATAGGCTCTGTATCCAGCCCTCAGATTGCAGCGTACACAGTCGTGGTCTACGCGGAAGATAACCAAACAACAGAGAATATCCTTGTACCTGATAGAATCTTTATCACAGTGGACCAGAACCAAACAAGATCAAGACCGAACTTCTTGCAACATATTATCATGGGAATATTTTTAAGTAACAGCAACAAAAATTTAGGAACACTACGCTTGACGATCGCAATGCAGGCACAGTCGAACGTAGCTCCACTGTGGGTAAAAAAACAGTAATCTCATTACACGCCATGTAGGTGCTTACGAGGAGAGGAAGTATAGCTCCTACGCATTCTCAACCTCGGTACTAGATGCAGATAAGTGGCCAGCGTCATGCCCCGGCTGCGCTTTACACCTAGGGAAAGGACCTCTGGGTGGGCCCCAGAGCCAGTCTCGATCAAAGGCTAAAAGAAAATCATGTGCCCCTGTTGGGGATCAAACTCCCAATCGTCCAGCCTGTAGTCAGTCAATATACGACTCGGCTACCCGACTTTCTATGCTCGTGGAAGAAAATTTAAAATGAATAAAAGTTAAAACTGTCGCTGTTCCTAAGCACCAGACACAAAGGCGTATTGAGGGTGTGGAAGTAATGATTTGTGTGTTCTTAATCTTGGTATCAGATGAAAGTGAGTGGTTGAAGTGGCAGCTTTACGACTACAGAAAGAGTCCTTGGGTACCCACTGAAGAGAAGACCGAATCAGTTCAGAAGCCAGTCGAGATGTTATGGTTAAGAGATACTGAAACCTGACTACTGTCATCCAACTAAGAAAGCTCATAAAAACAATAATTTAAGTAAATAACATTAAAACTATGCCCACAGACGCTGTTAGTAAGTTGTTTCATATATCTCATGTCAAAATATTTGTCAAAGAATCTAATAATAGTAAAAAAAAGTAAAATTTTATAATATTTTTGAGACTATATCTCCTTGCATAGATGCTTTTAATTACCAGACTCTGAAATATAATCATGTTAACTAATTTCATATACATATATACATGAATATGTGATGATTATGTTACCCCCCCTTTTCAGTTATGCCTGAACCAGACTGGATGGAAATTTAAACATGATGAATCACACATCATACTGATTAATTATCACATAGTCTGAGCGATATATGAAACAAAACACATCACAACAGTAATCCTTGGAGCCAAATAAAACCCAGACTGAAGAGACCGCGTCATGTCTTCCTTCATCTAGTCTTGGTACTACACAACACGTGTCGTGATGTAGTTACGTTTGTTCTGCAATTCTGCAACATGGTAAAGCACTGCATTATGATCTTCTCAACGCAGCATCCTTCGGCTAGGTCAGAGCTGCAGAAAGAGAACTGTACCATAACTTCAAATGCTTCCCTGATTATCCTGGGGGAGATATACATATAAGTTAATTTGGGACAATATTTTTATATGTGCTATTATTAATACTAAATTAACTTCATCTGCGTCCAAAAAGAAAACATTTTTCAGACTGTAGATGTCTGTAGATGATGGTCTGATGTATTCTCAAAAGTCACGTGCATTTATATATCTTTAAACTAGATCACTATGAATAGGACTTTCATGCATCTGTAGCACGTCATAATTTCATATTCTAGCTGCAGTGTCATTTGTGTGCCACGATTGTAAAGAAGTGGATTTTTACAAACAACGAAAAGTCACACGAGATAACTCATGATAATAATTACTACAATTACATAAACAATTTGTACAGCATGATTAAATATTTCTCAAGAAAACATATATCAATAATTTCATTTTTGTTGGTATACTGCAAATATTAACTAAAAATATGATTATTTATCATATTTCCAAAAATAAATTAATCAGAGAAGGGGTTAATGTACGGTCAAATGTGTCAGAAAACATGAAACCGTCATGTTCCTAGAAGAGAACGTTCTCTTCTTAAACATTAGTGAATGATAAGACTAACCTTAACCTGTTCACATAGACTCCATCTGCTCTGTCAGCTCCAGGATTGGACTCTCACACACAGGTTGCATGGATGACACAATGGGTTGCCAAGGGATGCTGCTTGTTGTCAGGTAGGAGCCTGATGCGGGAGTCGTTGACATCTGAGGACAAACACTTCCGTACTTACTGTCTAGAAACAGATACATCATTAAGCCTTCCCATGCTACAGATGAGATATTTCACTTAAAAGCGCCATCTATCTGTTATTTTAGAACAACGGAAGAAATGCACTCCACAGTCTGCAATATTTAAAGCTAAATATTTTTGTAGCTTTGTGTTAATACAAAATTTATGTTGTCATAAGAATATGCTAAGAATAAGGTTGCTTTGGAAACCAGTATGTTAACAATTCCCACCCAATAACCTGTGAACTGATGTTCTGCATATTTAAAAATCTATGTTTTTAATATTATGCTTTTCCCCGAAGATGTCTATAAGCTTTGATAAAGTTTCTAAAATTGTATGTAACATGACGGCCGGCTACACACACACTAGTGTCATACAATAATACTGCTTCTTGTTATGAAGGAAAATCTTTTCCAAAATGGAAAACGGCAAGGTTACCATTCAAAAATATTTTCAACATGGACCACTGAAGCTACGTAAGTAAAATTTAACATATCAGAGATGATAAACATAACCACAAATTGTTTTATTTATGTTTAAAGGAAGCAATCTGAGTTTAAACAGACTTTATTCATAGTAATTAATAATGTGTACCTTTCAGATTTAATATTCATAACTCTGTCATACACAAGATTCTCAAAAAAAGACACTTTATTTGTATCAATAAGGAAAATAAGAGTGTTTCAACAAAGGGTTTCAGACACTTAGTATAAAATATAACAGATGCAAATTTGATTATATGAATGAATTCCTCTTTTCCCACTGATGATCACCTCTTCATAAAATTTGTTACTAAGCACAAGACATATCCTAGATTAAATATAGGTTTTGAAGAAAAATTATTTGTGGAAGTTGAAACAAACAAATTCCTTGGCTTGCAAGTCGACCGTACCTTAAATTGGAAGAAACACATCGAGTATATTATTCCCAAATTAAGCTCTGCATGCTTTGCCATGAGAACAGTCGTACCACTCATGAAAATAGATACTTTAAAGCTAGTTTACTTTGCTTATTTCCACTCTGTATTGTCATATGGATTAATCTTTTGGGGAAATTCAACAGA